ATGGGTTGCCATTCCCTTTTCCAGGGGATCTTCCCAGCTGAGGGATCAAACCCAGGTATCCTGCATTGCAGGCAGATTCTTTACCATCTGAGCCATTTTATCCTTTTGTTCTCTATTTTTCCAATGTTCTTCAACCTACTTAATTTGTTTTTATAACGGAAAAGGTAGACACTTTGGGACTGTACCTTTTGGACTTAAGTTTGAGTGACAATAAATAGGAAACAATTAAAAATTGACTTAGTGTTCAAGTCAGGGTTTAGACATTCAATTGGATTGGATTCATTGGAGACATTCAATAAATGTCAACTGAACGGAAGCTCTAATCAGTTTTCCATCCCCTTTGGTTAGAATCTTAGAATCCTATTGCAATGCATTAGAAGTTTTACCATCATCTGAACTTACATAGGCCCACAGAATGGGGGAAAAAACTCTGCTTCTCCAACTTCGTACCTGAAGCAGTTGGAGCGAACTCACCTTCCCTGTGCAGAAGTAATCACTCAGTCTCAAATAACATAGAAAAAACTTTATTTCAGGCATATGTCATTTCATAAAGTTATTTTTTTCTCTTGTACAAAGGGAACATTGATTGCTTTTCTGAATACTCATATCATTTTTCTTACCTAGCAGCTCTTGGCCAAGGGTCTGTTCTCTCGGTTTTCAAATTTTTAATGAAATAGAATCCAGAGGTGTACTTAACCTGTTGAGTTTTGATGGACTTTGATAATCCAGATACTTTCTAATTAAAGGACTTAAGTGCATTAGTTGAGTAGGTCAGCATACTATGTGCCACAGCAGATGTGCTTTGGTTTAAGATTGCTGCTTTTGGGGTCCAGAGTCATATTTAGAAGAAATGCTCCCTTTTCTCTGTTACTGTAATAAATTGAAGACATGTTTAAAGTTGAGGGAGGGGACAGCATGAAGTGATCTTTTCATTGTTGTGTCACGAGAGAAGAGCATGGCAAACCCACTCCAGTATTCTTGCTTGGAATATTCCACGGACAGAGGAGCCTGGCAGGCTCCAGTCCATGAATTCACAGAGTTGGACTCAACTGAGTGACTTTCACTTTTTTACATGCCATAGAACAGGGACCAAGCCCCCAGCACTCAGACTCAGTCTTGATATTGTCCAGCCAAGTGTCTGTGAACAAAAGGGTGTGCAAATTCATGTTTCACTCTCTAGTCACATGGTCTCGTGTTTCAGCACATAGCCCAATTCTTCAACCATCTCTGCAACAAAAGGAGTGGTGGTAGGGAGAAAATGGTTTAATTTCGAGGTTACTGATTATATCATGGGGGGCTTAAATTGTCATTCAAAGCAAACAAGTAAGTGGAAACTTCGGTGGTGTGTCGTGAGAGTAGCCAGGGGGTCTTCCTACCTGAAAATAATTCCCCACCAACTTTTCACAAAATTTAAGGTTCACGCTGGAGTCTGGCCCTTCAAGGGCCTCTTGCATGAGTCGTATATGACTTATCGCATTGGCTTATCCATTTCTTAATGGATGTTTGATTAATTCATCTGATACCAGTAGTAATAGGACCCCCATGAAAATGGAGCACAGGTAAGTTCAGTGAACACGAATGGCAAGGGTATATGGAGGTAAGAAGGGTTCAGGGGCTAGAGCACAGTACTTGAGTCCCTTCCGAATCAGGGGTCACTTAAATGGATCTAAAGGCCAGGCCAAGGGGTGGAGTGGTTTCGGGGGACATCAAATTAATTTCAGCCAGGATCTGCCAAGCACTGTCTGCGTGGAAGTCAATGGAATAAGTATCCACAGAGACCAAAAGAAGGAAAAATACAACTTGGCCTTTTCACTCAAGGGAGTTAGCATTACAGTGTTTAGGAAAGAATTAAATAATTAAACATTTATGGGGTGTTTACTGTGTGATAGGTACCATTCTGAGCACAATGTCTGTGTCATCTGACTGATGTTGTGATCAAGCCTATGACATAGGTACAAGGACTGCATTCCTTTAATAGGTTTAGAAACTGAGGCACAAGGGAATTCAAAGCCTTTCAGATTTTGGTCCCAGCATTGACTCCAGAGTCCTTGTTTTTAAGCGTTATTCTATACTGCCTCCCAGATAACTTTTAATAACTTTTACCTCTGAGCAAAGGTAAACAAAAATGTGACAGTATGTGTGTAATGCCAGATTTCTTCTACCTTGTTACCTGAAATCTTGTAGAATATGAAATATGCAAAGAATCTTTTTTGCTTGCCCAAAGATACTTGACTTGGATACTTGGATGCTTGACTTCTGATCCTAAATTTTCTTGGCTTGGGGTTAATTGGACCTAAGGGATTTTTTCTGTTTTTGTTCTAAAGCCTTAGCCAAGAAATATTTTCTTTTCAGACTTGCTACCTGCAATGTAGGCAGTCGAGCAGAGTTACTTGGTGGCCTTTGATCCCATTAGAGAGTTCTGAATTGGTAGCTCAGATCCTTAAATGAAATACGATATTAAAATAACACCAAACTGAGGTCATAGGAGATTGCAGTGTAACGTATGCAGTCAGAATAGCTGGGATTTAGGGCAAATAAAATGAGTTTCAGTTGGCTTCATCTGCTCACTTTGTGCCTTTCCTTTCCCTCTCCAGTGATTGTTAACCCACCTCTTCACTTAGCAGGAACACAGCAAAACACAAAATCTCTTAACTCCAGTGTAGGGATTTTAAAACTCTCAGGGTCTGATAAACAGCAGCATCCTTGTCACTCCAGGAAAACCCGAGACAAATGCTTCTACTGAACTGGAATTTCTCAGAGTCCAACGCCTGCCCTCATGTCATCTTCCCGTGTCGTGAACATTTTTTATGTTCACGAACTTTTGCTTCATCACATTTGGCCTTTCTTAAGGGAGGCCTATCCCAGTGACCTTGTGTTTGCAGATGGACTGTGTTTCATCTGGGTCCTATTATTTTATTAAGGGTGGTCCGCAGGTCCTTTTTTTCTGCCTTCTTAGGAGTGACCAGCCTTCAGCAAAGGTAGTAGCTACTTCAGCAGTTACACAAACAGTATTTCAATGTACAGATTCTTTTAGCAAGTGTTGATTGGAAACTTCCTGTGCGCTGAAGCAGAACCTGGCCTAGGGTCTCCTTAAATTCCATACCCTCATCTCCTCACTCGCCTCACCTAGTTCTGGCCTTGAGTCCATGCAGTGTACAGGACACCAGGATCACAGAACTGCTAAAGATATGGCCTTTTATCCTATCTGGCAGTCTGTTGGAGACACATCAATGAACCATGGATATTGTTGTTATTATCTCAAACCGTAGATTAAACCATGCTGCACATTTTTTTATTCATTCTCTGTAACTGACTAAAGGAGCTCAAAACAAGAAAAGTAATTTGGATATATGATTTCCTTTAAAGTAGCTTACAGATTATCCTGAAAAAAAATAATCAAAATACTTCTCTGTGAAACCCTCGGAATTAACCTAGGGAAAAATATCTTTAATGCTGTCATTGACCAACTGAGTGAAAGAGTAAAACTCTCTTTTTTATCTTAATGAAAAGATAACAATAATAAATGCAGAGGTAAAACATATGTGGATCATAAGTGGCCTTACCAATTCACTACTTTGAAAGTGTTTTCTTAAAATTGTCATCATCAAAGGGAAAGACGGGTATCATATGTTATCACTTACATGCAGAAACTTTAAAAAGGATATAAATGAACTTAATTACAAAACAAAAACAGACTCGAAGACATAGAAAACAATCGTATGGTTACCAAAGGGGAAAGCGGTCGGGAGGGATAAATTAGAAGTTTGAGACTAGCAGACACAAACTACTACATATAAAATAAACAGCAAGGTCCTACTGTATGGCACAGGGAAGTATATTCAATATTTTGTAATAAACTGTAATGGAAAAGAATCTGAAAATTAAAAGACACTTACTCCTTAGAAGGAAAGTTATGACCAACCTAGACAGCATATTAAAAAGCAGAGACATTACTTTGTCAACAAAGGTCCATCTAGTCAAGGCTATGGTTTTTCCAGTGGTCATGTATGGATGTGATAGTTAGACTATAAAGAAAGCTGAGTGCAGAAGAATTGATGCTTTTGAACTGTGGTGTTGGAGAAGACTCTTGAGAGTCCCTTGGACTCCAAGGAGATCCAACCAGTCCATCCTAAAGGAGATCAGTCCTGGGTGTTCATTGGAAGGACTGATGCTGAAGCTGAAACCCCAGTACTTTGGCCACCTGATGTGAAGAGCTGACTCATTTGAAAAGACCCTGATACTGGGAACGATTGAGGGCAGGAGAAGGGGATGACAGAGGATGAGATGGTTGGATGGCATCATCAACTCGATGGACATAGATTTGGGTGAACTCCGGGAGTTGGTGATGGACAGAGAGGCCTGGTGTGCTACGGTGTGCTATGGGGTCGCTAAGAGTCGGACACGACTGAGCGACTGAACTGAACAGATTATATACCTGTGTAACTGAATCACTTTGCTATATACCAGAAGCTAACACAACATTGTTAATCAACTGTGCTTCAGTTAAAAAAAAAAATTTGTAGTCAGTCAAATATTTATTTTGGAAAGAGAGAGTTAATTTCCCTTTTGGCTTCTGACTTAGATTTTTAGAATTCATGCTGCATAATTCCCTTGTGATGATACTGAGATGGGAAACTAGGAGCTAGAAATCATCTTTTAATGACTTTAAGTTCTGCCACTCAAGTTCTGAGCAAGCCCGATGCTTCACCTTACTTACTTTTTCCCTCCTTTCTTAATAAAGTCTGATTTGGATGGTGGGAGAGCCACTCACCCTTGTCCATGTATTTGCTTCTGTCCAACCTACGGTGATCTTGGGTGCACACATTGAGTATCTAGAAAGGGCCATTTAGTCGAAGATATTTATTATATCAGGGCCATGCTGGCCTTCCATTGTGTTACACACATTCTTCTATTTTCAGTCTGGGCTTTTTAAGATGTAAATCATCAAGAAACAAGTTTCTGTAACGTTTTTTAATATGCTGAATTTCGTCTTATTACAGAGCAAAGAGATTGCATTCCAGCTTCATGAGGATTTGATGAAGGTTCTCAATGAGCTCTATACGGTAAGCACATAATCTTTCTTTAGGAAAAATCTTTGGTTTAGAATTCTGGTTTGCGGAAATGCTTCTCTTATTAGAAAGAGCGTTGATGAATGCTTTTCTGGTTGAAATGTGGAACCTACTGACAGATGTGCACTACGATATTCTTTTTCTGCTGTCTGCCGATTTGAAGAGACTGTATTCAAGTAACTACATATATGCAGTCAGAACACTTCAAGAAATGGGACTATAGTTGTCCACAAAGGGATGTTTTTATTTTTTTATTTTTTCTCTTTTTTTTTTTTTATTTTTTCATTTATTTTTATTAGTTGGAGGCTAATTACTTTACAATATTGTAGTGGTTTTTGCCATACATTGACATGAATCAGCCATGGGTGTACATGTGTTCCCCATCCTGAACCCCCCTCCCACCTCCCTCCCCATCCCATCCCATCCCTCTGGGTCATCCCAGCGCACCAGCCCCGAGCACTTATCTCAAGTGTGAAACAGATCGCCAGTCCAGGTTGGATGCATGAGACAAAGGGATGTTTTTAAATGGTTGGATTATATGTGTGATCTGTTTGTTTATTCTACTCCAGAATATATGGAGGGGGGTAATCTCTTTTTCCTTCTTGGCAATCATTTGCTTTTCTGAATGTAAATTTTATTCAACTTAATGCATATAAGCAGAAGAAATTAAATGATTAAATATTTTAAAAAAACAAAATCAATGATTAGTCATATACCTATGTAAATTTTGTTTTACACTCAGTGATCGTATTATTAAATACAAATTTCTTTTGAAGGAACTTAACTTGATGAGTTTTTATTTTATAAGAGAACAGCATATTGAGAATTGAGTAATATTAATTTGTTCTGACTAAAGATATTTGTGTTTTCATTACAAAAGATAATTTAAATTTTCCTTTATAGGCAAATTAAACCTGAGACTTATTATTAAAATATGTTTCTTGATTTATTATTTTATTTGTTTCTAAAAAGCAAGTGTGTAAAATGCAGTTTTGTGTTTTTAAATTGCATTTAATGCTCCATTGATACTTGCTAATTAAAAGAACCTGTAGTTTTAAAGTTTAAAAGAGGTGATATTTTTATAAAATTCACATTCCAGTTTTTCTGTGTGTGTGATAAATTTGTTTTTATGCAGCATATTTGCTACACCTGTGCTTTTAATTAAATTTACAGTTTCTAATTGCTGCTGCTTTCTTTAGAAACTTAACTTCACATGCAAAAACCTCATGTTATAAGGTCATACTCATAAAAAATACCTAATGAGGTTGAGTTTTTGATGATAAAAGTCATTTGTTAATTTTGGATAACCAAAGGTATCAAGCATTTCTAGAAATCCTGGACATAGAATTTAAAAGTTAAATGAACATTGTACCTCTGAGACTTACAAAAAAGAAATTCTGTCTTCTTGCATTGAACTGTTTTCAGATGAGGGCTTTGTGGCACTTTTCTTGTGTTTTCCTTTGCTTGCTCATTGTTTTACCTAGAAATATAAATCAGTTTCTAAAACTTTAAAAAATCTAATGGTTGTCATGGCATCATAAACAACAACCCGTTGTTTATGGTCTGAAACTAGCAGTGCTAGTCAAAACAACAGTGGCAAAGATAAGTTTGACTTTTGAATATTAGAAAAGTCAGTAGAATGTCATGAAAATTTTACCTCAATGGGGATGTGTCTAGAGAAATTTCTCCTGGATTCAGCCTATCAAGTGCAATTAGACATTTAGGAGACTATAGTTGAATTAAGTAAGTTGATACTTCCTCAAACCTCTGATCAAGATCAGTCTGAAAGCCTGAAGGAGCCAGGTTCTAGAAAAGGCCACAAGAGTTTCATTTAAATAACCCTGTCAGTCATTTGATCTTTGAATCAGTTGAGGAATCAAGGCACAGAGGAGACAGGCAATGAGGTTTTCATTAGGTAGTCTGTAGATCACTGAGCTCTTGGAAGAAGCTTTTACTTTAACCAAACCAGAGAGCATGCACGTTTGTGGTCAGAGGTCATGTTCCTTTGGGAAAAACTTATTACACACACACACACTTTTTACTCTAAAAAATGATTGTTTTGTCTCTCTTGTAGTTTAAGTTCAGATAGATAAATTCTGTGTTGTTCAAATGAAAGCTATCCATTACTCATATTCAGTTTACATTCAGAAAGGAAGAAAAGGTGAAGAGTATTTGACCAGAGGACCAGAGCTTAGGGGAATGTGGTTTAGGTTCTTTATTCAACCACTGACTGGTCACAAATAAATTACCCTCTGAGTTGCATCATGCGTAGAATTTTTTTGTAATTTTATTGATCAATTGATTTTATAATTGGCTGTGCTGGGTCTTTATTGCTGTGGGCTTTTTTCTAGTTCCTGTTTACCAACAAAGGTCCGTCAAGTCAAGGCTATGGTTTTTCCAGTGGTCATGTATGGATGTGAGAGTTGGACTGTGAAGAAAGCTGAATGCTGAAAAATTGGTTCTTTTGAACTGTGGTGTTGGAGAAGACTCTTGAGAGTCCCTTGGACTGCAAGGAGATCCAACCAGTCCATCCTAAAAGAGATCAGTCCTGGGTGTTCATTGGAAGGACTGGTGCTGAAGCTGAAACTCCAGTACTTTGGTCACCTGATGCAAAGAGTTGACTCATTGGAAAAGACCCTGATGCTGGGAGGGATTGGGGGCAGGAGGAGAAGGGGACAACAGAGGATGAGATGGCTGGATGGCATCACTGACTCGATGGACATGAGTTTGAGTAAACTCTTGGAGTTAGTGATGGACAGGGAGGCCTGGCGTGCTGCATGCAGTTCATGAGGTCGCAAAGAGTCGGACACGACTGAGCAACTGAACTGAAGAGTAGAGGCTACTTTCTAGTTGCAGCATGAGGACTTCCCACTGCAGAGACTCCCCTTGTTGCAGAGCACGGACTTCAGGGCCCTCAGGCTTCAGCAGCTGTGGCTCCTGGGCTCTAGAGCACGGGGTCAATAATTGTGGCGCACAGGTTTAGTTGCTCCTCGATACGTGGGATCTTCCTGGACTAGGGATCGAACCTGTGTCTCCTACACTGGCAGGCGGATTTTTCACCAGGGAAGCTGCACACATAGAATCTTGTACAACTGATGATGTAATAATGATTGTTTAAGTAACGTATAAAATATGTAGCCTCAGGGAAATGAGAATGCTATTAATTGCCTTTTCAAACAAATTCCCTCCTCCCTTTCTCTTAACCCTTGCTCCTTAGGAGTTGAAGGTGAACTCCTTTTTTGAGAGGTGCATTAACTGCCTTAAACTAGTGGGGTGCTTTATATTACAACACAGTCAGCCTTAGCAGTGGGCAGTAACCTTATGTGTGGGCTTCCCTGCCCAAAAGTAATTCTCACATAGGTCTGTTAATAATTCCAAATATTCTATCAGAAACTGTTGTCTTAAATAAGATACAAATGCCCAAGACAAATAGAAAAAAATGCCGTATAATCATTTTACATTTTAATTGAAATCAGTTCTATCAGATCCTTTGAGGACAGATTATGTCCATCTGGCATGAAGGCCTGGACCTCTGAGCAGGGAGGAGAAGATGGTGGCATCCAAGTGCTGTCTGGAAGGAGAGGAAAGGCTGTGAAGACATGGATCCCCTTTTCTATAATTTTGCCTCATCCTTGCCTTTGTTTATAAAAATGGGGCCTCAAAATGGTTTTGGGCCAGCCACAGTAGTTAGGATTAGTTGGACCTTTAACAGGTACTCTGTCATGCCAGGGAATAATGATATAAACAAGATAGACATTTATTATCTCTGTCACATAGAAGAATTTCAGAGATTGGCAGCCCAGGACAGGTATGGAGGTTACGTATAGCCATAGAAGAATCTGGTTCCTCCTAATACACTGTTGAGAGAAAACTATCTGTATCTTTCTGCTTATATTTCAAGGTAGTTGCTAAAGCTCCAGCCGTTATACCTCCATTCCTGAAGTGGAGAAACGAGACTCCAATAGCGAGGAGAAAGGAAAGAAGGGCCGGCCCTCTATCTCTTACAAAGACGCAATGAAGGTTCTGTATCACACTTTCACCTACATCTCATTGGCCAGAACTTTCAGTTTCAGTTTCGGTTCAGTCGCTCAGTCATGTCTGACTCTTGGCGACCCCATGGACTGCAGCACGCTAGGCCTCCTTGTCCATCACCAACTCCACTTAAACCCATGTCCATTGAGTCAGTGATGCCATCCAACCATCTCATCCTCTGTCATCCTCTTTTCCTCCTGCTTTCAGTCTTTCCCAGCATCAGGGTCTTTTTCAAATGAATCAGTTCTTCGCATCAGGTGGCCAAAGGATTGGAGTTTCAGCTTCAGCATCAGTCCTTCCAATGAATATTCAGGACTGATCTCCTTTAGGATGGACTGATTGGATCTCCTTGCCATCCAAGGGAATCTCAACAGACTTCTCCAACACCACAGTTCAAAAGCATCAGTTCTTTGGTGCTCAGCTTTCTTTATGGTCCAACTATCACATCCATACATGCCTACTGGAAAAACCATAGCCTTGACTAGATGGACCTTTGTTGGCAAAGCAATGTCTCTGCTTTTTAATGTGCTGTCTAGGCTGGTCACAACTTTCCTTTCAAGGAGTAAGCGTCTTTTAATTTCATGGCTTCAGTCACCATCTGCAGTGATTTTGGAGCCCAAAAAAATAAGTCTGCCACTGTTTCCCCTGTTTCCCCATCTATTTGCAATGAAATGATGGCACTGGATGCCATGATCTTAGTTTTCTGAATGTTGAGCTTTAAGCCAGCTTTTTCACTCTCCTTTTTCACTTTCCTCAAGAGGCTCTTTAGTTCTTCTTCACTTTCTGCCATAAGGGTGGTGTCATCTGCATATCTGAGGTTATTGATATTTCTTCCAGCAATCTTGATTCCAGCTTGTGCTTCATCCATCCCAGTGTTTCTCATGATGTACCCTGCTTATAAGTTAAATAAGCAGGGTGACAATATACAGCCTTGACATACTCCCTTCCCAATTTGGAACCAG